ACTCTTTCCTTTTGGCTGGAGATGTATTGAAGGTGCTGCTCTTGAGTGCCCTTCTACGTTTGCTTGCCCCATGGAAGGGAACTCAAAAAGGCATTTAAATGCCTTCTGAGCGGTCTCTTCCCAGGTCCCATGATGCCCCCCCCTCAAATTCCACAGTGGGAGGGAGAGGAAAACCTCAAAAGTAAGGCTTCTGTCATGGCTTTTTGTGGGGGGCGGGGCGATTAATTAAGGGGGCGGGGCCCCAAATGCCCCACCACAGCGGCAGGCCTGGCATAGGGGTGGGTGGCTGTCAGGGCCATAGAGGAAGCTCCGCTTAGGCCTCTGAGGCGAAGCTCCGCCGTGAGAGAGAAGGCACCCCTTCGCCGCACCAAGAAGCCACGGGCAGTGGGGCACTTACAGTTTCTCGTTGTTTTCATCCGTGAAGTAGAAGAGGCGAGCCACGTGGAAGAAGAACTCGGCCACGTACTGCAGCAGTAGCAAGATGAGTCCCAGGCGTGTGAGGCTGGAGAAAGACGGAGGGATAATCCTTAACTTGGGAGGACGCCCAAGGGTCCGTTAGACACCTCCTCCCCCCGACACACACACCTGCCCTCAAAGACCCCAAGCAGCCACACCCACACATACGAATCTGACTTGTACTGAGTCGTGCTCTTGGTTCCTCAAGGCCAGTCTTGTCTACTCAGACTGGCACAGTGGCTCTCCAGGGTCTGAGGTTCAGGTCTTTCCCATCACCTACCACCTGGTATTGCCAACTGCAGATACCAGGGGTTGCACCTGGGACCTCCTGAATGTAAAGGCGAGGGGCCATGGCTCAGCAGCAGAGCATCTCCTTGGCGTGCTGAAGGTCCCAGGTTCAATCCCCGGCATCTCAAGCTAAAAGGACCAGGTAGGAGGTGATATGAAAGACCTCCACCTGGGACCCTGGCGAGCAGCTGCCAGTCTGAGTAGGCAATACCGACCTTGAGGGACCAAGGGTCGGATTCGCTACAAGGCAGCTTCCTGCATTCGTCTAAGCCACAGACCCTCCCTTATGTCTTGATCAAGGTTGGAATCGCGAAGTTAATCACAGTCTTCAAGTGCAATCCACAGTTAAGCAAGCTACGCTGCAAAAATGTGCCCCCCCCACAACCTGGCCCCCGATTCTGTGCTTGGGTACAACTTGAATGGTGCGCTTTATTCATGCAGTTCTGTCTGCCACAGAGGCGGTGAAGAGATACGCAAGGGACTGGATTCCTCCCAGCGCCCTGCGACGCCTAGAGCTGACACCCAGACCTCCAGCCTCCTCGCCCCTGCTTCTGACATCTCACCCGGGACCATCCCTACAGCACTCTTACGGAACTATCAAGCCCACAGGACTAGGAACTTGATTTTCCGAACAAACAAACAAAAATGGGAAATTCTTTTGCGGCTATGCGGCACTTTCATAAAGCACGCACAGCCCCGACCGTTATTCAAGACGGGGGGGAAACACGCAGCGACCTGTTTTATGACTGGAAGCGTCAAAAATCTACAGAACGGGAGGCGGCAGAGTGCCAGAGCATAAAAAGTAAAAACCTGGTTTCGTTTGCGAGGTCTCCAAGGGTGACCCAATCCCGCCAGATGTGCCGTGCTGCAGAAGCTAAAATCATTCTCAAACCGTCCTCAACGTGTCTCTTTCATTTCAGTTACTGGGCCTCCTTTTCAAAACAGCGTGCCCAGACTCGGAACTGAGATTACGTGGATCCTATGGCAGCAAGTGACGTTGATACCCCCTGAGTGGTCAAAAAAATAATAATCCCCCCACTCTGCTACAGTTGTTCACCTCATCACATACTTTTGGGCAAGTGAGGGAGATTCACGCGGCGATCGTATGGCGGCTCGGCCCGTTTCCACAGAGCAATGATTTGCTGTATAGCTGTTTTCGCTGCTATTTATTTACTCATTTATTGGATTTTCATCCCGCCCTCCCCTTGCCGGGCTCAGGGCGGGTTCCGACAGTATAAAATACAACACAATTAAAACCACATTAAAACGCAATATAAAAGAACATCATTCCGATGTGCCACACAACTCTAGTCAAAAGCCAGATACCTCAGTGGTTGATGGTATTAGAAATTTTTTGTTTTAGGGATCTTTGAAATCTAGGATCTCAAGGACCCAGGCTACAGATGGGGGGGGGACCCAGGGAGGGGGACGCCCGCTGCCTCAGCGAAAAGCCCGGCGGAAGAGCTCCGTCTCGCAGGCCCTGCGGAATTCTAATCCCACAGGGCCCTCATCTCACACGGGAGCTCGTTCCACCAGGCGGGGGCCAGGGGCGGAAAAGCCCTGGCCCTGGTCGAGGCAAGTCGGGCGTCCCTGGGGCCGGGCACCACCAGAAGATGTCGGTGGCATGTTGCGTGTATGAAAACGAAGGCGTCCGCGACAGCAACGGAGGGTCCACGCAGCAGTTCTCTCTGCACATTCCTTGCCTCAGTCCCCTGTGGCTGCCTTTCCCTCTCAGCCACCACCATGGTAGGGCTTTTCGGTCTTCCTTTACAGCTGGGAATTAACATCACTATACTGTTCTAACAATTTACTGCCATGATGTACAGAGCAATGTTCCCTCTAAGCTGTGGAGTCTTGTGAGCAAAAATTCTACTTTGTGAGCTCCTGGCATTCAAGTGGTGAGCGAGCGATTTGGCTACTGCGGAAATCAATTTGCTCTGGAGCCCTCCTTCCTGAGCTAAGATAAAAATGGCTGAGCCGGAGGCTCAAAGACTGTGAGCTAGCTCACACTCACTCAGCTTAGAGGGAACACTGGCTACAGAGTGCTTGTCAAGTCACAGTCAACTTATGGTGACCCCATAGAGTTGTTGTTCTTCTTCTTATTATTATTGTATGGCATTGTGTGTAATATAGCCAGGAGCTCCTAAGACAGATCCTAAGATTGTCTGGCAGCCAGAAGCTCTAGCTCTTTTTTAGCATTATGCGCCACTAGGTGACGAGGGCAAGACTTCTTTCTAAGGCAAGCGCTGTTTCAGGGGTTGGTTGGCCCTTGCCTGCCCCCACGTTGCGACCCTGGGCTTCCTTGGTGGTCTCCCATCCAAGTTCTCTAGGAAGAACTTCACGTAACTAAGCAATGTACAAGGTCAGGGCCAACCTGGGCCATGGTGTATTTAGCTCATCTCAATACCCAGGTTTCCCTTACTAGATTTACTCCAATGCAAGGTTATTTTCCAGGTACGCCATACAAAAGAAGGGCTTCATAATGCGTACGCATACAAGTTACAGTTCTGTCCAGTAAAAATACAAAAAGTACATGTATAACTTTTTGAGACAATGGATCAAGCCCTGTTATTCTGTCTGCACCAGTAGAAAAGAGCAAGAGTCCAGCAGCACTGGAAAGACTAACAACGTTTACGGCGGGGGAGGAGCTTTCGTGAGATATCTGAAGAAGTGAGCAGTAACTCACGAAAGCTCATATACCCTGTTCACAAGCTTTGTTAGTCTTTAAGGTATTCTTTTTGACGGGGACCATCTTACATTCAGGGTCACCTTCCTTTTGAGCAGGGCTATTTTGGGGCAGGAACGCACAGGAACGGAGTTCCGGCTGGCTTCAGAGCTGGCCACGCCCACTACAGCCAAAACCTCTGCATGCGTGGCTACAGAGGGAAGGCCTGGAGAGTGACCCCCCTGGCGACTCCGAGGCGGGTGGGCCAGGGGTGGCCCTGGAAGGATCGGGGAGGCATTTAAATGCCTCCCCATGCCTTCCCCAGCCTGTCCAAGGGCCAGCTTGCCCGGGCAAGCCAAGGGAAGCCACGGGGGTGTGGCCTGACATGCTAATGAGATGCACTGTCAGGGGTGTGGCTTAATATGCCAACGAGTTTCTGCTGTTGGGTGTGGCCTATTATGCTAATGAGTTCCTGCTGGGATTTTTCTACAAAAGAAGCCCTGCTTTTGAGTAAATACAGTACTTAAAAAAAAAAAGGCAGGACGTTCAGAGCACCAAGCGGATTGTAGTAACAGACTGTTGTTAACACTATTGTGCTGCAGCCATCTAACACTGGTGAACGATGCCCTCTGGTGGTATGGAGGGGAATGGCAGTTGCTGGGGACTGAGACAAGGAAAAGCATCCACAGCGTGGGCAGGTGCTTCAAAAGTGCGGCGTGCAAAGGTGCTTTGAGTGTGACCTTTCCAAAAAGGGTGTTATCAAACCTGGCTTGGGCGTAATCAAATGAAAGCAGAGAGAAACCTGGAAAGCAGACCATTCGGGGACAGCGTTACGGGGCTCTGATCCTGACCGTGCCAATTTCAACTGGTCATGTTGCAAGGGGATTTTCAGACTGTTCCGGACAAGCAGGCTGTATAAGTCGGGATGAAGGGAAAGAAACTCGGAAACACTTACTTCAAGAGGTATGCTCCAGCTATATGCACAAGGTAGAGGCTTATATACTGCAACTGCCGAGGAATCTCTTCCTGGGAAGCAAAGAGAGACCATAAGAGGCTGGCGTTAGCCATAAAGAGGCACCAAAGGATGGCGTACAGCACTGGCAACATCAACCGCTTTCAGTCAAATAAGGGGCCAGATTCCAAACTCTTCCAGCTCCCGCATCCAAGAAAGGCGCATCGTAGTTCATTGTACAGATGCATTTCCGAACGGCTTCTTATTTATCTAAAAAGACTTTGTACCCCTTCTCCGGTCTAGACAGGTTCCCGTCTAAAAAGGTTCCTGATATGGAATACAGCATGGCAATTCGTTTATCAGCAACAACAACAAAATACCATCACGCAACAACAAAGGGCTGCCAACAGTGTTCCCTCCAAGCTGAGTTAGTGTGAGCCAGCTCACAGATGATTAGCCTCCGGCTCACACATTTTTGTCTCCGCTCAGGAAGAAGGAGGGCTCCAGAGCAGACCGATTTACGCAGCAGCCAAAGCGCTCGCTCACAACTTTAGTTCCAGCAGCTCACAAAGTAGAATTTTTGCTCACAGGACTCCGCGGCTCAGAGGGGGGGGCATTGGTTCCCAACCTCAAGGTGGTGGCTGGAGATCCCCGTTATTACAACTGATCTCCATATAACCAAGATCAGTTCACCTGGAGAAAATGGCCGCTTTGTAAGGGGGACATCATACCCCACTGAATTCCCTCCCCGAACCACCCTCCTCAGGTTCCACCCCCCAAAATCCAGGTATTTCCCAACCCGGAGCTGACAACCCCGTGAAAACATGAAGCAGCTTTCTACCGGTCCATCAAGGTCAGTATTGTCTACTCAGACTGGCAGCAGCTCTCCGGGGCTTCAGGCGGAGGTCTTTCCCATCACCCACTGCCTCATCCTTTTAGCAGGAGACGCCGGCGGTTGAACCTGCGCGCCAAGCAGATGCTCTAACACCAAGCCGCAGCCACTCAAAACGTTAAAAACGTCAGCCTTGAACAGGACAAACTGTAGAACAAGCACCCTAATGATAGCAGGAACCCACACACAAAGGGGAGCAGGAAATATTTCAAGATGTCAGAAGGGGGATTCTACAAATATTAAGCGCTGGCAGGATGAACAATCAATCCTTCTCTAAGAAGAACTTCAAACAGTCGAACAATGCAGTAGTTACTGGATGCCCCACTCGAACCCGGGCAGAAAGCAGGAAAGTGGCTTTCGAAATATAGTGTGCCGTTGCGAATATTTCTATTTATTTCCGTTATTTATAGTTCGCTTTTCTCATTTGGACTCCCAAGGTGGGTTACGCAGAGCGAACATTCAGGACGGAACATTCAGTGAACAGTGCAACAGGATGAGGGTTGTGGAGCCCACCAGAAAGTCTAAAGGCAGAACTGAAGCAAAGCGGAAGTCTTGACACGACACATTAAACGATGCAACATCCCATAGTAGGATTCCAGTTGCAGCAAGCTGTACTCAGCAGCATAGACAACAGTCCCTGATAATTTCTTCAAGTCACTCTGTGAATCCTTGAGTACAGTGCAGCTCTATTGCCTGCACAGAAGAGCCAGTTTGGTGGATTGGTTAAGAGGGTGGAGTCTAATATGGGAGAACCGGGTTTGATTCCCCCACTCCTCCACATGCAGCTGCTGGTGTGACCTTGGGTCAGTCATAAGTTCTTTCAGAGGGGTTCTCTCAAGGGCAGTCCTCGAAAGAGCTCTCTCAGCCCCACCTACCTCACAGGGTGTCTGTTGTGGGGGCGGGGAGGGAAAAGAGATTGTAAACCGCTCTGAGACTCCTTTGGGTAGGGAAGGGCGGGGTATAAATCCAATTTCCTCTTCCTCCTCCTCTTGAATAATTTGGTTCTGCATAGTTTGCGGAAAGCCAGGAGAGTGGGAATCGTCCTGACCTCCTCAGGCAAACCATTCCACAAGGTGGGGGCCACAATGGAGAAGGCATGGAGCTGGATCCAACATGTTTCCGCAGCAGGCCCCTAGCCAGGATTTGGTGGCTCCTGGGGCAGTCTTTCTTATGGTGGGGCTGAAGTTCTCAGTGCAGAAAGAAAAGCCATCTAGCCAATAGAAAACGGTTCCCAGGCTAGATCTCTAAACGGCAAGCTGTCAACCACTTGAGATGACAGTTCTCAGATGCTGCAAGTTAACCATTTCTGCCAGCCTAAGCAACAATTCTGAGCACAAGCCGGCAGTTGGGGGTGATGATGACTTCTCTGGTCAAGAAAGCTGACATTTAGGCAGAAAAACTTTCTTAAAGTTTCTTGACCCAGAGTTAGAAGGGATCCTAGAGGTCACCCACTCGAACCCCCTTGCGCAGTGTAGGACGTAGTCAACTACAGCACCCCACTCCGCTTAAAGGAGCACACACCTTTAAAAAATGTTTTAAAGTGATTGAAGAAAGCATTCACAGGGGAAATTCTTGTGGGGCCACACCTTTAAGAAAGGGGGCAGATCCCCCCAAAGCCCCACCGTAGCTACGGGCCTGTTCCACACGGAAAAAATCCCCATCCACGAAGCATTACTTTCTTGCCTCCTCCCGCTGCAGCCCATAATACCCCCCGAGGAACAAAGATAGATAGAAAGCCTTCTGTTGGCAGAAATACTCTGCTGAATCCCAGCCACGGCTCTTCTTGGCCTTCAGGATCACCCAATGATTTCATTCTGTCAGCTGCAGTCTATACTCATAGATTTCACTGGATCTTACTCTAGACAAAAGTCACCTGGGCCCACTGCAGTTACGGCTGCAAAGAAAGTCACTCCAGTTAAGTAGAGGCAGTTGGCGGGTCCGGCACTCACCTTCCGCACCTTCTGGAAATACAGCTCCGGCAATGCGTGCAGCCAATAGGCCAGCTGGCACAAGTAGAAAAACTTGACCTGGAACCTGACGTGGCAGAAGGAGAAGAAGAAGAAGCATCCACAACAAGTCAAAATCTTCACTGAACACTTGAAGTGTTCTGCCCACCAAGTGGGGAGGTAGCTAATTCATGAATTGTCATGTGGTAGTGTGTGTAGAATAGCCAGGAGATCCTAAGATTGCCTGGCAGGCGGAGGTTCTAGTTCTTTTACCGTTATGCACCACTAGGTGGCGAGCTGGACTTGTTTTTAAGGCAAGAGACGATTCAGAGGTGGCTTGCCATTGCCTGCCTCCGCGTCACGACCCTGGCATTCCTTGGAGGCCGCCCTTCCAAATACTAACCGGGGCCGACTGCGCTTAGCTTCCGAGATCTGACGGGATCGGACTAGCCTGAGCTACCCAGGGCAGGGCAGTGGGGAGGTCAGCAGCCTTTCGCAGGATAAAGAACATTCCCAAGTTACGCCTGATTCGGGTCCAGTAGACTCTAGCTGCCGTACCGCAGACCAACATGAAGCTGAACTTCATGCTAGACTTGTTTTTAAGGAAAAAGACTTTTCAGAGGTGGTTTGCCGACCCTGCTTAGCTTCCAAAATCTGACAAGATGGGGCTAGCTTGGGCTATCCAGGTTAGGGTTGCCAAGTGGAACTTACCTTGGCGGTGGGGAACTCCTGGGTGGATCCCGGAGCGCGCGCACCACACACACATCACCAGGAAGTGACGTTATGACGCCGGGCACGTGTCACTTCTGGGTACCGCACACGTCGGGGAGGAGTTACCCCGGGGCCTGATCCGGTGGCGCTGGGGAACGGGCCTCTGGGGCGGGGGTTTCCCCGCCCCCCAGGGGGACTTGGGATCCCTAATCCAGGTCAGGGCAAGGAAACCAGATGTCGGCATCTCATCTCTGAGCTAAAACGATGCTTTCGTGACCCTGCTCGTGAAAGTCCACCGCCGTGAGGCATCACAAACAGAACATACAACACCACAATCACTGCAGTCCTCACAGGGCAAGAGAATGCAGGGCCGTTGTTAAGTCACACAAGACATGTTGTGTGGAAGATTTTCATATCTAAAGGGTGCCTCCTGCAGCAGCAGCTAAGGGTCGTGATAGTGTGCAGATGTGGTGGGGCGGTGATTAAAGAAGAGCTGGTTGTTCGCGAGTCCCCAAAGATCAGTACAGCCCTGGGAAAGCCATCGTCGGAGCCAAAACAGATTGCCGTTTTGGTGTTGGGCTGGATCCTACCATCTGTTCAACCGGAGGGAGGAGGAGTCTGTTCTGACCCCTGAGACGTCTTGGCCGGGGATTCTGGGACCAGCAAGGATGAAAGCCACGTGGAGGAGGGGGAATGCAGGGAGGAGGGAAACCAGGTAGGATCGAGCTGACAGGATCCAACCCAGCGTCTGCATTCCCACACGCTGGAATCCTGTTCAGGAAACCCAGCATATGAATAATTGAGTACATGAGTGGCTTCTGGATGGCCCAGGTAAGCCAGATCTTGGAAGCTAAGCAGGGCCGACCCTGGCAAGTATTTGGACGGGAGACCTCCAAGGAATACCAGGGTTGGGAGGCAGAGGCAGGCAATATCAAGCCACTTCTCGGAACGTCCTCCATGCCCCAGTAGGAGTCGCCAGAGGTCGCCATGACTTCCAGGCACAGGCAGACAGACACCAAAAATACCAAGAATATTATTTATTTATTAAATTTATATCCCGCCCTCCCCAAACGGGCTCAGGGCGGCTAACAGAAGAGGCATATGCCATGATGAAAAAACTAAAAACAGAATAAAACAGTCCATCACAAACAAAGTGCTGGTGCTCTGGATATTAAACTCTTATCCGTCCAAGATGGGGTTCCATTAACCAGCATGACCCATCAGCATAAGTTCCAAATAATACTGTCGTCCCTTCATGACCAGTTCTTCAGGTCGTCTGGTCGTCTTTCCAGGGCCAGCTCACATCCTGATAGAATCTACCGTCAAAGATGCAAACTCGGTGGTGGTACAGTAGCGGTGGCGGCTCCTATGCAAAAGCCTGGCGGAAGAGCTCCGTCTTACAGGCCCCGCGGAACTGCATAAGGTCCCACAGGGCCCGGATCTCCTCTGGGAGCTCATTCCACCAGATAGGAGCCACCACCGAAAAGGCCCTGGTTGCAGCCAACTTGATGTCCTTGGGGCCTGGAATAACCAAAAGATGTTGCGCGCCCCTGACTGTAGCGCTCTTGGGGGGGACAGATGGGGAAAGGTGGTCCCTTAGGTAAGCTGGACCCTGGCCATTAGCTTAGCAGCGGTGGAAAACAATTTTTTGAAAGTGGTATTTAGCTGGCTATCCATACCAAAGTTTGGCGCTGGGAGCTGCCTGCGCTGCTGTGGACACCCTGCTAGGGTTACTATCACCAAGTATCAATATGGAATAATCAAAAGATGTTGCGCCCCTGACTGTAGCGCTCTTGGGGGGACAGATGGTGGTCCCTTAGGTAAGCTGGACCCTGGCCATGAGCTTAGCGGCAGTGGAAAACAATTTTTGAAAGTGGTATTTGGCTGGATATCCATACCAAAGTTTGGCGCTGGAAGCTGCCTGCGTTGCTGTGGACACCCTGCTAGGGTTACTATCACCAAGTATCAATACCGGCAGAAATGGCGCCTTCCAGGGCACGATGAAAACCTCAGAGGAGACCCTGGAAGCGGCTGTGTCTTCTACAGCAACGGCCAGGTTAATGCTATGCATCACCCCGGGCTTGGTTTAACACACCCTGTTCCTAAGACCAGCACCCCAAGCGGATCTCTCACGCCCAGCTCTGTTCTAGGGCTGCCAATCATCAGCCAAAATACATGGATGACGTTTGCAGTCTGAGGCCTTGACGAAGGTGGCGTGACCTCTGGGTGGCTGAAGCAGAGGCCCCCGTTCAAAGTTGCAGACGGTATTTTAGCTTCCTTATCTGGTCTAGCCTGGGCTTATTTATACCCCTCTAGCACATTGTTTCCACTAACAAGGCGGAGGAATAACTGGGGGAAAAGGAAGCGGCACCACAAGCCGGCACCGTGGGAAACCACTAAAAACTGTGAGGACTCCCTACAGACCAGGGGTCTCCAACGTGGTGCCCATGGGCGCAATGGCACCTTCCAACACCGTTTCCTGGTGCCCCCCAACTTGTTCTTAGAAAGTGAGTGGGCCTCTTGCCCAGCAGGGCTTCTGATTGGCCACGGGAGATCTGATTGGCTGGGCAGATTAGTTGCAGCTGTTGCCATGGTGCTGGTTTTATTCTCTGTCACTCCTCTTTCCCAAATGTGTTTTTCAAACCATGCCTGTTCTCCCCTGCACTTGGGCTTCCTCTCCTCTGGCCTCCCGTGGCAGCCATTTTGCAGGTGGCTCTGCCTCCTGCGGCAGCCATTTTGCGGTTGGCTCCGCCTCCTGCGGCAGCCATTTTGCAGTTGGCTCCGCCTCCTGAGGCAGCCATTTTGCTGTTCCGCCCACCACCCTGCGCCAGAACTTTAAAGGTGCCCATATTGTCAAAAAGGTTGGGGATCCCTGCTACAGGCGATACGGAGATACTACCAGGGGTGTAGCCAGAAAATTCTTGGTGGTGGGGCACTGGGAGATTCTGCGGGGAACAAGAACTGGGGGAAAGAGAGGGGGGGGGAGAGAGGCATATGAGGCTCTGGCCTCCCATGGCAGCCATTTTGCGGTTGGCTCCACCTCCTGCGGCACCCATTTTGCGGTTGGCTCCACCTCCTGCAGCAGCCATTTTGCAGTTGGCTCCGTTGCCTGCGGCAGCCATTTTGCAGTTACACCCACCACCCTGCGCCAGAACTCTAAAGGTGCCTATATGGTCAAAAAGGTTGGGGATCCCTGGTACAGGCAATATGGAGATACTACCAGGGGTGTAGCCAGAAAATTCTGGGTGGTGGGGCACTGGGAGACTCTGTGGGGAACAAGAACTGGGGGAAAGAGAGGGGGGGGAGAGAGAGAGCGGTAAGCCCGTCTACAGCAGAGGAAGAGGACTCAGCAACTGCACCAGCCTAGCCATGTGAACCATTGACATGTGACCCGGCGCAGGTGCAGTTAGGCCGCTACCGCCAAACCGAATCCTCTTCCTCTACTGCGGGCGGATTCACCTCTCGCAGCTTGAAGGGTATTTAAAAGGGGGCGCCGAATCCTCTTCCTCATCTAATGGCTTCCTCGTCTACATGAGTCGGGGGTGCAGGAGGAATCTCCAACTCTCTCTCTTTTGCATTTTGCAATTTTATTTTACTTTATTTTGCGTTTTTTAAAAAAACGATGCATTTTTCAGCCTGGGGGAAAAAAAATAAGACTGAAGCTTCCCTGATTGTGCCTGGGGTCATTTCGGAAACCCCACTGACCTTCCACAGCCTGCAGTTCATCATCTTAACCACTTGAGCCACCGCAGCTCCTTTCTATGGGGGGAATCGCCCCCAAATTCCCCCTGTGGCTACGGGCCCAGGTACTACCCCTGCAGAGACAATGACGAACTTCAGCAGAAGGCAGAATCTTCAGAGGAATAAAACGGATGCCACGTACAAAGCTTAAAAAGGACCCCAAACCCCAGCACCTTCTACAGCTCTTGAGGGTGACACTCAGGACTGGAAGCAAACGTATGTTTCTTACTGGCACAGGGTGATTTCGCACTAGAGCTGCCTTGCCGCGCAGCCGCCGTTTGCCCCGACACAAACATGTCAATTTCACACCCGAAGCTGCGGGTTTGCATTTTGACTCGCGGCTTTGCCCGATTTCCTCCGCAGTTTCGTGATCTTGGTTTTTGAGGGTCACGAAACTGCGGAGGAAATCGAAGCCGCGGGTCAAATGCAGCCCCAGGTGTGAAATTGACAAATAGTGTCGGGGCAAACGGCGGCTGTGCGAGGCAGCTCTAGTGCGAAATCGCCCACACTCTCAGTCAGGTGGGGAGGCTCAAAGCAGAAGGTGGGGCCCACCTTCTTGACTGTCCCGGTCTCCTTCCATCCCTGGTTCTAGATACCTTTCGATCTGCCCTTGCCGGGACAAAGGGTTTTACCACTGGCAGCAGCTCATGGAAGGGGGCCGAAAGAAGGCTCTCGAGACAGACTATCGCAACCTAAAACATCGGCCGCCCTGACCTCAGATGAACCGACGAGGGAGGAAGGAAGCGGTGGAGTTGACAGGCACCGGGGCCGCGCCGCGACTACTTACGGGAGATGGACGTGAGGGTAGTTCTCCCACAGGCTCCTCGGGTTTGATAAGTATCCTTCCTGAAAAGGGAAACGAAAGCGAAAAAGGGTCAGCCAGCAGATATCTCCAGGCAAACAACAGCCGGCCCGCATTCCTGGGCCTATTGCTCATGTAATAACAGCCCACTCTCCCAGCAAAGGTAGACTTAATATTTGGAAACAATTGGTTCAGACTGTAAGGAAAATTCGGTTTTAAAAATGAAAGAGTTTTGTCGGTTTGTATATCATTAGTTGTGCAAGTTCTCCCTGCGCCAAAAGAAATACCAGAAAGGAATATGATTAGGGATCCCAAGTCCCCCCGGGGGGCGGGGAAACCCCCGCCCCAGAGGCCCGTTCCCCGGCGGCGCCAGATCAGGCCCCGGGGGAACTCCACCCCGACATGCGTGTAACCCGGAAGTGATGCGACCACGCCGGTCACGCTGGGGGCGGGGGCACGGAAATCCGAGGGAAAACTATGGTTTTCTCTCGTATGGCCATGGCCCCACCCCCAGCGTGTCTGCCATTGTCATGTCACTTCTGGGTGCACGCGCACACACACCAGACGCCGGCCGGGAGTCCCCTGCTCCGGCAGAAAATTGACTTGGCAACCCTAATTCAAAATAAATAAATAAATAAATAAATTGCATTTCTCCAGCAACCTTTATTGGGAACCAACTTGCTTTTGCATAGCGAGCAGAAGGGCTGACAGTTTTCTCAACCATGTGAGAAGTCCTACTCCTAAAATTACCAGCCAATCCAAAGGCAACATACTGCCTACCAGCTGCATGCATCAGCATTGTACTCCACTGCTCCTATTTGTGCTTGTAGGCTCTAAGGTTCAGGGGCAGGTAGTGACTGCATAAGGCCCCAGACTTGAACCACAAGGTCTCTGTTGGGAGAGGAAGGAGTCAGGTTAGTATACGTTAACTTCTACAGAGGGAGAAAAATTGGCCATCCTCTAAAGCAAGTTTCTCAACAGACCGGTTCTTGTTCCCAGTCATTTGATTTTGAAGCAAACTATCTTTTTTTCATGGTAAAATCTTGGCTCCTTCTGTGTGGTTTTACACAGGTTCTTGCATTCACTCTGTTTTTCAGTGTTCTGTGATATGCTATCAAGAGTGTTCCTGAGAAAGGGCATTGATTTTTAGCGTGTTTAGCGTGTTCAGTGTGTTTCTTATTTCAAGCTCCATCATTCTAACTTCACAATTGTAGCACCATGGCCAACCACCTCTGAATGTCTCTTGCCTTGGAAACCCCACGGGGTTCCCATAAGCCAGCCGTGACTTAACCGGCACTTTTCACCATCCACGAAAACAACCGTAATTCCTTTTCTGGATTAACCTTTCGCAGTGGAGGAAGTTTCTGTCTTCCATAATCTGAATGCTGGACACCAGAGGACCAGTGTTCCCTCTAAGCTGAGTTAGTGTGAGCTAGCTCACACTAACTCAGCTTAGAGGGAACATTGCTGATGACACGGCGACGGTGGCCCGCCCCTCCTCCCCGAAAGCAGAGGCGACGCGGGAGACATCCCACATCCTTTCGCTTCCCCGCCTTACCGTTGCAATGACATACAAGCACCAGGCCACGGAGGTGAGATGAAATGCGACCAGCTGGCCGGACTCATTGAACTTGCTGTGCTTGACCTTGGACAGGTGGAGCCTCCGGTTGATTTTCTGGAGAGGAAGGAGAAAGATCGAGGAAAGCCAAATGAGAGCTCCCTCCCGGTGACAAGGTGACTCATGGCAGGAACAGGCTGGACTGGACAGGCCAAGTCAGGTGACCCAAGGATACCAGCCAGGGGGCCATTCACTTAGGACAGAGCCGTCGGTACAGGGGGGGCTTCCCAGCAGCCGCTCACCACAGCTCCAAAACTGCAGCGTGTCAGGGTCTCCGATCTTTTCCAGCCCGTGGGCACCTTTGGAATTCTGACACGAAACGGCTGCTGCAAAATAAAATGGCTGCCACAAGAGGCGGAGAGGGCGACCAAATCGCCGGGCCGCCACCGCTTACCTTCAGTCACACAGTGAAGATCCTTGCGCAGTGGGGGCAGCTACTACCAAAGCGACATTTTTTAAAAAAAAATCTGCATAGACCATCAATTTTTCCAGTGGCCAATCAGAAGCCTTCTGGGCAAAATCCCCCATTGGCCGTGCCCATTTTATAAAGACACTTGGCAGGCACGAGGAAAGGTGTTGGCAGGTGCCTCGACGCCAACGGCACTGTGTCGGGGACCCGTGATCGGCATCTACATCCTAGATTTGGGAACTCAGCCCAAACGTTGGTTCAGGTAAAAGCCTAATGTGAAACAAAAGCTGGAATTTGCTTTGCCGCTCCATTCTCCTTCTATTGGATGGGGCAAATAACACTTTCCTAATGTCACAGGGGCTTGGTAATAAACCCTTATAAATTCTAAAATGGGAGAGATAACCCAAAACGGTGATCTCCCCGACTCTGTACCAGAAGATCAGTTTTCTTGGCACCCGTTTCCTTCTTCCCCGAAATGAAAGAGCCAGTCCTGATTTTCTTCCACCTCACTGGAGCAAGAGGGGCTTCCGAAAAGCCCAGGTGTAATGGGTGAACCCCCCTCCCCAGTAAGGAAAGCATTCCTTTTAAAACAGGCAGATGGAAACGAAGGGGGTAACGCCAAAGCAAGGCATTAACCACTAAATCACAGGGCTGTCATTGAGGTTGGCTAATGAAAGAGCCGGTCCTGATTTTCTTCTACCTCACTGGAGCAAGAGGGGCTTCCAAAAAGCCCAGGTGTAATGGGTGAACCCCCCTCCCCAGTAAGGAAAGCGTTCCTTTTAAAACAGGCAGATGGAAACGAAGGGGGTAACGCCAAAGCAAGGCGTTAACCTCTAAATCACAGGGCTGTCATTGAGGTTGGCTAGGTTCCTTGACACCCAGACTTCTGACTGAAGAGAAGATAGCAGATGATTTATACACAGCTGAGAGCCAGTTTGGTGTAGTGGTTAAGTGTGCGGACTCTAATCTGGGAGAGTCGGGTTTGATTCCCCACTCCTCCACTCGCACCTGGCTGGATGACCTTGGGTCAGTCACAAGCTCTGACACAGCTGTTCCTGAAAGAGCAGTTTCTGTCAGAGTTCTCTCAGCCCCACCCACCTCACAGGGGAGGGAAAGGAGTTTGTAAGCCGCTCTCTTCTTCTCTCCTTCTTCTTCTATCCCAGGTGTCAAGGGGAAATCTTGTATCCCAGTCAAATATTCCTCATGTTTACCTTTTTAAAGATTTTAAAGTTTTTTTTATTTCAAATCAACCTAAAATTCTTGAGATGAGAAGACATGAGAGATGCAGTGATACAAAAATTAACCTGCCTATGTAAATGAAATCAGAGACAGAAAGGCAGATATAGCATCCCTTACCGTAGTTTAAGATTAAAAGATAAAATACAGTTTCTCAGAGTCTCCCAAAAGCGCTTTCAGAAAGATTAGGTAGTCTCGCGCAAACCCACGTCTGAGAGATTCAAGGGTGTACTTGGTGCGACCACCTTACATAGGCCCAATTACGTGAAACCCATATGATCATACGAAAACCTTCCAATTTGATAGTATGAGGTGAGCACTTCTGTGAGCTTTCCCACAGAAACATATGTATCAAAACTGTGAAGGCTCAGATGTTTTTAGATGTTTCTGGGCATTTGTCCATCTGTTCAAAGTTACCCCTTCCCAAAGATGGGACATCAAGTACACAGCTGAGAAAATAAAACCTGTACCAGTTTTACAAATATGAAATCTAAAGCAAATAGTCAGGCCTGCGTTTGTTCAATCAATACCTCTATCAGACAAGGGTCAGTGATATAGGAAGCATTGGCTTTTGTGTCTGCAGGAAGCGTCCATTCAAAAAAACAGCTGTCTCTGTGACAGAAGAAAATAGGAGATTGGATTTATACCTGCCCTTATAGGAGTCTCAGAGTGGCTTACAATCTCCTTTCCCTTCCCCTCCCCACAACAGACACCCTGTGAGGTAGTTGGGGCTGAGAGAGCTCTTTCGAGGACTGCTCCTGAGAGAACAGCTCTGAAAGAACTTGTAACTGACCCAAAGTCACACGAGCAGCTGCATGGGGAGGAGTGGGGAATCAACCCCGGTTCTCCCAGATTAGAGTCCGCGCTCCTAACCACTACACCAAACTGGCTCTCACACCAAACTGGCAGGAAGATGCCTGGCTTAGAACCTCTCAAAACTTTGCGACTGGCCCCATTTTATGGATTGGCAGCCATTTTATGATTCACCCCACCTCCCATGGCAGTCATTTCCTGCTGGTGCCCGGACGACCTCTTTTCAACATTCCAGACAAGGTTCACCAGAGCCGGAGGCCGAAGTCACCTGGCTAGCTGGCACGAAAAGCAGAACTTACATCCAAGGCGTACTCCTGTACCACGGCGTGCAGAATTATTGCGATGAAGATGTAGAAGAGGATGGTGACCAGATCCTTCAGCCCGTAGTGATAGAGGACAATCTCACCATCTGAGAAGAAGAAAAGGGAGGGTGGTGGTGGTAAGAAAAAGCTGTGGCATCAACATTCGGCACAGAACAATTCCGGGACCAAAGTTTCCTCAGTGCTCGTTGAAGGGCAAAGCTGGACACAACAAAAGGGACAACGTCCCTCTATCCAACGTGGATATATGGAGATGGGTGAGAGTGAAGAGGCTATTTCTCTCCCCTAATGGTCACAGCTAGGAGCCGCGGTGGCTCAAGTGGTTAAGACGCTGAACTGCAGGCTGTGGAAGGTCGGTAGTTCAGCAGTTCGAGACCCGAGTGTGCCGCATGACGGAGTGAGCTCCCGTCTCTAGTTCCAGCTCCTGCCAACCTAGCAGTTCGAAAGCAAGAAATTGCAAGTAGATAAATAGGTACCACTTCGGTGGGAAGGTAACAGCGTTCCGTGAGCCTCGGTGTTTAGTCATGCCAGCCACATGACCACGGAAACGTCTTCGGACAGCGCTGGCTCTTCGGCTTGGAAACGGAGATGAGCACCGCAACCCTAGAGTCGGACTCGACTGGCTTTCGAGCAGAGGAACCTTTACCTTTACTTTAATGGTAACAGAGTGCCGGGACAAGGGTACTAATTCCTGGCCCTTCCCCTACCTACCTTCGCTTGCGGTGCTCTTCCATTTGGAACTTTTCTTCCAAGGCCTGTCGGGGATCCCGGGCTTGACGCAAAGGGCCAAGCAGCCATTTTCTCCAGGGGAACGGATCTCTGTTGCCAGGAGATCAGTGGTAATAGTGGGGGTTCTCCAGTCACCACCTGGAGGTTGGCAACCCTAGGATGCATGCACTCCCCTGAGCCCCACACCTTATGGAACAGCCTGACAGAGGGGGTCTGGAAGGCCGCCACTCTCCCGGCTTTCCGCAAACGATGCAAAGCTGAATTCTTTGGGAGGTCTCCCTTACAGAGGGAATAAATAGGGCTGTATCGTAACAAAATGGTTTAGACCAGGGGGTGTCGAAGTCATTTGTTATGAGGGCCGGATCTGACATAAATGAGACCTTGTTGGGCCGGGCCACGTGTGTCTGTGTCATAAAATGTAATGCCAGGTAGCGGAGATATAAACTTTATACAGGACACAAACACAAAGGGGTTTTCTCACTTAAAACAAAAAACATGCTTAAAACATTAGCACTCATGCAAGATTTTGTTTATTTAACAGTGCTGATAACTGACACTTTTTGCTCTGAATTATTGCATCAAATTGCCTGTGCTGTTGCAATCTTGAGCATGCTGTTCAGGTGTGTATCTGTAAGCCGCAAGCTGCAAACCTACGAAGATGCAGCCGCAGCAGAACTGGAAGAAGCAGAAGACAGCCCAGTTCCACTGGGGGCCTGATGTGGCCCTTGGGCTGCATGTTTGACATCCCTGGTTTAGAAAGATCCTTTGGTAAAGAGACAGGGCCTGTGGACTATATGATTATGTTCTGTCTGGTGCTATATGTAATGTCTGCATTGCTGAACGTGTCCTGTTTAATCGTTTATCCTTCGTTTCTGCTGAGTTTCAGCTGTTTTTCAGGTTTCTGCCTTCCAAAAACTATTCCACTGTTTCTCGGATGCCCCATTCCTGTTGATTTAATTGCCTCACGTTGCGTGATCCGCCATCAGTCCCATCGAGAAAGGCTATCAACGACATCAATTTAAACATATTAACAGCCCAGTAGCGCCTTTAAGACTCACAAACTTTATGGTAGTATAAACTTCCGAGAAACACAGCTCTCTTCATCAGGTGCATCTGACGAAGAGAGCTGTGCTTCCCGGAAACTTACACTACCATAAAGTTTGTTAGTCTTAAAGGCGCTAATGGGCTTTTTTTTTTTTTTACTATTTTGCGGCCACAGACTAACACGGCTAATTCCTCTGGCTCTCATAAAAATATACAAACCAATATGAGATGA